TATATTTATATTTATATTTATATTTATATTTATATATTTATATTATTTTTAGTTTTTATATTTATCTATATCTATCTGTATGTATTTACATAAAGAGAGGAGTTCATGGCTGAGCTGTGCCTGCAGAGCCAGACTTTGAAAAGCCAAGAACAGCTCCATGAGAAGCAGGATTTAAACCCCCTCTGCTATAAAATAATTGGCAGCTGTTTGGGAAAAGCAGCAGCTCTTGATTCCAAGGGGTGTTATGGGGTGGGTGAGAGTCCAGAGGGATTCAGGAATCCCAGGGTCATGGATCTGGAAATCCTGTCCCAATTCTGTGGATCTGGAATTCCTATTCCAGGGTCATGGATGTGGAATTCCTGTCCCAATCCCGTGGATCTGGAATTCCTGTCCCAATTCTGTGGATCTGAAATTCCTATTCCAGGGCCATGGATGTGGAATTCCTTCCCAATTCCATGGATGTGGAATTCCTTCCCAATTCCATGGATGTGGAATTCCTGTCTGGGCAGCTCCTGGGGCTTTTCCTCTGAACTTCCCGGGGGTGCTGGGCAGGGTGGGCATCGTTTGTGTCAGGCTGGGTGGGCAGGGGCCAGCTGAGCCTGCACTCAAAAGGCTGGAAATAAGAGAAAAGGGAAAAAAAAGGAAGGAAAAATAGAAAAGGAATAAAGAAGAAAAAATAGAACAGAAAAGGAAAGGAGGTCAGAGCCTGCCCCAGCTGTGCTGTGAGCCTGGGGGCTSGTGGGGCTGGAGATGCAGCTGCAGCTTTCCAAGCAGTCCTGCAGGTCACGTTCCTGCTCTCCCAGCAGCTGAAATCCCTTTAGCAGCGCTGATTTTTGGGTGCAGCAGAGCAATCAGGGGTCCTGGAGGGGCGGGAGGGTGGGCAGTCCTGCCCCAGGCCTGGCTGGTGTTGGGCTGGTCCTTCTGCCACCCTGGGAATGCTCCAATGGGAAATTGTGCCGTGGGAATGAAACCCTGAAATGGCCAAAGATCCAGCGGGGAAAATGGGATGAGTGGAAAGTGCAGGGCACAGCCTGGGGTGTTCTGTCCAACCCCTTCCCTGACCCTGCCCAGGGGCCAGCAGGGCTTTTTCTTTTTTATTTTATTTGGCTTCAAAGAACTGCCCAGGGGCTGCCAAGAGTGCAGGGATTGTTTGAGGTGCTCTGCAGCAGAAGGCAGAGGGACGGGCAGGGATTTACACCCTGATCCTGCTCCTTTTGGAGGAAAACACTGGATTTGGACAAAATCAGTGGCTTGTCTCYTCCAGCTGCTRGTTYCYRTGGGGTTAAGYTGTGTGTCCCYCSAGGGYTGAACTGCATTTTCTAATTATTTTMTTTTCCTTCCAGAAACCTTGGGAAGTCTGGGCTGAGAGTGTCGTGCCTCGGGTTGGGTGAGTACCTCCGGCCTCTTGCCCCACCACAGCACCCAGGGGAGCAGTGTGAGGGTCTGTGGTGTCAAATCCTTCACCGTGGAGGGGCAGCCTGAGGGATTTGAGCTGTGTCTGGGAGCGCCGTGCCCGGGTTGGGGACACAGCTCCGTCCCCTTTCACCCTCTCTGTGCCTCGTTGTCCCTCTCCACGCCGGCTCCAGGCCCCAGAACGCCTCTCCAAGGTCTGGTCCCATCCAGGGCAGGGACAGCGGTGCCCTCGTAGTGCCCAACCTGCCTGCAGCTCCCGCTGCCTTTGGGTAATCCCGGGATGGAGCTCAGCGCAGTCACGGTGCCCGATACGCAGATGTTTGTGTTTGGGGATGGAAAGGCGGTGCTGGAGAGAGCAGGAGGCTGCTGTGAGCTCCATCCCATGGGGCCGGGCTGGCTCCAGGAGCGTGGAGCCCCAGGATGAGCAGGAACCCCAGGATGAGCAGGAACCAGCAGTCTTCCTCAAAAGTCCAGGATGAGCAGGAACCCCAGGATGAGCAGGAACCCCAGGATGAGCAGGAACCCCCAGGATGAGCAGGAACCCCAGGATGAGCAGGAACCCCCAGGATGAGCAGGAACCCCCAGGATGAGCAGGAGCCCCAGGATGAGCAGGAACCCCCAGGATGAGCAGGAACCCCAGGAAGGATGCTCTGGGCTGCCACAGCCCCTCCAGCCCCGTTCCTTGTTGCTGGGGGTCACAGGAGCTGCCACAGCCAGGTGGAGAGGGCAGTTCAGGCTGCCTAAAGAGTCATCGAGTAAGGTATCAGCAAACCTGGTTTAACATAAATTTATAAAATCCCAGAGTTTGATGGCACGGCTCATTATTGCTGCACAGACGGAGCACGCAGAGCAAACTCGGGGTGAGATCAGTGATTTCAGGGGGTGCTGGGACACACAGGACAGGGCTGCAGAGGGGGAAGGGACCGAGCCCTGGGGCTCAGAGCAGCCCCGGTGCCAGCCCAGCCTCAGCCCCCATCGGTGCTTTGGGTCTGAAGGGTTTAGCGATGCTCAATCAACACAACAATAGCAGCGCTTAATCAGTTGACTAATTTAACATTTATCAAGTGACTCAATAGGATTTGCTATAAGCACAACAGTGGCTTAATTATGAATCTAAGCTAATTGTGAACCCAAGATGGCAACATTCATGCTGCWCTTAGTCAGAGTATTTAAATCAATTCATGTACACAGAGATCTGAGGAGTCTGCACCAAACCATGGACCTGTGAAACAGCTCAGGGAAACTCTGCTGCCTATAGACTCACCACCTATGGGATGCYTGGCTTTAGTCATCAGGAAATTTCCATCCTTGGGCAGTTGGTAGTTACTGGAATTTTCCTGGAGAAGTCCAAGAGCARTAATATTCTTTAAKAACAACAGMATYATTRGGTCAGAGCAGCCTGGTCYGTGGAAGGTCCTGCCCAAGACAGGRTGRAACGGGAGAAGCTCTGAGGTCCTTCCCATCCAAACCATCCCAGGATTCTGTGATTATTCTGCTCAGGCTGTTCAGACAGAAAAATGAGGTTTTGGAGCTGTCTGCTGGAAAGCAGGAGGCTGTCAGGGCACGGAATTTGTGGGGCAGGGAGTGTTTGGGAGGTTCAAGGGGGGGTCACCTGCCCGGTGCCTCTGATGGAGGCTGAACATACCCAGGGTCAGAGCATGGCTGAGGAGGTGCCCTGGGGCAGGGGAAGGGCTGGCTCTGGGATTCTCCTGGTGCCTGCTGGGCTCTGGGATCCCTCTGGGATTCTCCTGGTGCCTGCTGGACTCTGGGATCCCTCTGGGATTCTCCTGGTGCCTGCTCTGGGATCCCTCCAGCCCCTCCCTGCCAGGGCTGGGCACTCCCAGGACAGGGGCAGCTCGTTTGTCCAACATGCTTTGGGGTTTGATGTAAACCAGACTGAGCTGGGAAAGTCACCCTGTGCCACAAGGCAGAGAAATGCGTTCCCGTGTGCCGAGAGCTCTCGTGGTTAAAATAGCCCAGCCCTGGAAGGACTCGTGTTATCTGTGCACAGTTTTATTTATCAGCCTCACAGCTTCCCCGAGTGCTGCTGCTGTGCTGGAGAGAAAAGCCACGGGAAGGAAGTGGCGGCAGGAAAGSAAAAACAGAGTTTTGCAGAGCTTTCTTTGATTTCCAGCGGGTGGAACGGCAGCAGCATCTAAATATACTGAGGCTTTGTGTGTGCAGCTGTGAGGGACGGGAGCTGTGGGCACCTGCTGCTGTTCCTGCTCCTGCTCCTGCTCCTGCTCCTGCTCCTGCCCCTGCTCCTGCCCCTGCTCCTGCTCCTGCTCCTCCTCCTGCCCCTGCTCCTGCTCCTGCTGCTGCTGCTGCTGCTGCTGCTCCTGCTCCTGCTCCTGCTCTGCTCCTGCCCCTGCTCTGCTCCTGCTCCTGCTCCTGCTCCTGTTCCTGCTGCTGTTCCTGCTCCTGCTCCTGCTCCTTTTCCTGCTCCTGCTCCTGCTCCTGCTCTGCTCCTGCTCCTGCTCCTGCTCCTGTTCCTGTTCCTGTTCCTGCCCCTGCTCCTTTTCCTGCTCCTTTTCCTGCTCCTTTTCCTGCTCCTGCTCCTGTTCCTGCTCCTGTTCCTGCCCCTGCTCCTGCTCCTGCTCTGCTCCTGCTCCTGCTCCTGCTCCTGCTCCTGCTCCTGCTCCTGCTCTGCTCCTGCTCCTGTTCCTGCTCCTGCTCCTGCTCCTGTTCCTGCTCCTGTTCCTGCCCCTGCTCCTTTTCCTGCTCCTGTTCCTGCTCCTGCTCCTGTTCCTGCTCCTGCTCCTGCTCCTTTTCCTGCTCCTTTTCCTGCTCCTTTTCCTGCTCCTGCTCCTGCTCCTGCTCCTGCTCCAGCCCAGGGAGCTCTGCAGCCCCTGCCCAGCCTTGCCCGACCTGCAGGGAGAGGGCAAAGGGCAACAGGGAATCCTGAAATCTTGAAATTCCCCAGAATGGGCAGGTATTTCTCCTGCAGCACAGCACCTTTTGTTTGGGATGATTATTTTGGGTTGGAAGGACCTTAAAGCTCATTGTATTCTTTTCCTGCCATGGCAGGGACACCTCCCACTGTCCCCAGCCTGGCCTYGGGCACTGCCAGGGATCCAGGGGCACTCACAGCTGCTCTGGGCACCCTGTGCCAGGGCCTGCCCACCCTCCCAGCCAGGAATTTCTCCCCAGTGTCTCCTCTAATCTCCTCTATTTCAGTTTAAAGCCATCCCCTTGTCCCACCCATCCCTCTGCGGATCCATCAGGTGTCTGCTCCGGGTGCTGCCTTACATGACTTTCCTAAATGGCTTCTGTGTTGCAGTTCCCCAAAAGATAAATGTGTTTCCCTGCCTTCTCTGCAGCATGAAAATCTAATTTAAGGCTYACTAAAGTTTCTGAAGGCTCAGCAGTCTTCCTCAAAAGCCTTGCAAAATCCCAGCAAGGTGGGAGTGYGCTTCAYGCTGCAGATGAAAGGTGCAGGAGAMTGGGAAGTGGGGCAGGGATCAAAGGTGGGCAGGGCTTTGGGGGCAGTGGGACCCTTTAGTGACATCCTGWGTGTGCTGCTGGGTGTGAGGGAGGGAGGACAGAGGTGCTGGCAGCATTTCCCTGGCAGAGATGTTTGGGCAGGGCCCCAGAGCTCTGGGAGCTGTGGCTGAGCGGTGTTTTGGGGGGATTGGACATACCAGGAGAGCTGGGAATGCTCAGCCAGGCTGAGCCTTTCTCCTGACTGAGCTGAGCCTTCACCTCCTCCTCCGAGGGAGTTACCTTGAATTGAGGGCTCTTCAGAGCCTGACCCTGGGCTGCTGTGGGGCTTTTTCCTTGGTGCTGCACCCCACACAGCAGGCTGTGCCCAGAGGGGGTCAGGGGCTGTCCTTGCCCTCTGTTCTTTTCCCTGGGGAGCAGGCTGTGTCCAGAGGGTCAGGGGCTGTTCTTTGCCCTGGGGAGCAGGCTGTGTCCAGAGGGTCAGGGGCTGTTNGCTGGCAGCATTTCCCTGGCAGAGATGTTTGGGCAGGGCCCCAGAGCTCTGGGAGCTGTGGCTGAGCGGTGTTTTGGGGGGATTGGACATACCAGGAGAGCTGGGAATGCTCAGCCAGGCTGAGCCTTTCTCCTGACTGAGCTGAGCCTTCACCTCCTCCTCCGAGGGAGTTACCTTGAATTGAGGGCTCTTCAGAGCCTGACCCTGGGCTGCTGTGGGGCTTTTTCCTTGGTGCTGCACCCCACACAGCAGGCTGTGCCCAGAGGGGGTCAGGGGCTGTCCTTGCCCTCTGTTCTTTTCCCTGGGGAGCAGGCTGTGTCCAGAGGGTCAGGGGCTGTTCTTTGCCCTGGGGAGCAGGCTGTGTCCAGAGGGTCAGGGGCTGTTCTTTKCCCTGGGGAGCAGGCTGTGCCCACCCAGCCGTGCCCTCCCCGTGCTCAGGCCCCAGAGCTGCAGCTCCCCGGGGCTCAGTCCCTGCCCCAGCAGGACAGGGTGACACAGGGCTGGCAGTGGGACAGGCTGTGAGCTCAGCCAGAGGAGCCCTCTGCWGCACAGGGGACACTTCTGCTGGCGGTGGCACTGCCCAGAGGTGGCACAGAGCTTTGGCTCAGAGCTTTGGCACAGAGTGTCACACCCCACTGGGCTCAGAGCAGGAGGGTAACAGCACCAAACCCAGCCTTGGTGCAGAAATTCCTGCTGAAGGTGAGGATACCCAGCTGGAAAAYTGTTTGTCAGGCAAAAGGGAGCGAGGGGATGGGCACGGGGCAGGAGAGGGGCAGGTCTGTGCCCCAAAGTCCTGGGGCAGAGGATCCTTTATRAACCAGGGGGTAGGGATGGGTGAGAGAGAGAGAGAGATGGGCACTTGGAAAGGGAAAAGGAGCAATTTAAAAAATATATAGAACTGTCTCCAGGATATTTTTCTTCCAGAATGAGCGTGTTGGCTGAGGCTGTGAATCATCCTTGGCTGTTGTTCGAAATGCCAAATGCGCCTTGTGCTTCTTTGCCTTTTTTTTTTAATTTCCCAGGGGGTTGAGCAGCCTGTGCCTCTCCGTGCCTCTGTCTAGGCTTTGGGTGCTTTCCCTGCTCCTGACTGGCACCAGAGCCCTCCCTCCCCAGCCACACTTYAGAGGGCACTTTCCTGAGCCAAAACTGCCTCCCTGCCTGGTTTTCCCAAAGATCACAGGGAAAAAGACCCCTTGGATGTGTCCCCAGTGATGGTTCCCTGTCCCCAGCCCCTGGTGTCCCCCAGCTGGGAGCACAGAGAGGACACAGGTGGGTCTTGGGCAGGGTGATCCAGCACCACAGATATTTATTGCTTGGTTTTGAAGAGATTTCAAGAGCTTTAAGGTGCTCGTTGTCCTCASCTGAGCCATTTGAGCCCTSGGGCTGCTCTCCCTGTGCCCTGAGCATGTTGTCACTCAGTGGGACGTGGTTTGTGTCACGAGGCAAATTCCAGAGAGGATGTGCACTCCATGGGGAGGAGAAATGATTCCAGTGCTTCTCACCTGTGCACCTGTGTGCTGCTTATGCAAAAAAAAAAAAAAAAAAAAAAATCCATTTGAGATAAACAGTCTCAACCCATTTTTTGGTACAAACACATTTTTAATGTATTCCTGTAAAAATAACACCTCCAAACCTTTAACATGGAAATCAGGCTTCATTTGGGTATTTTTTTTTTATCTGCATGAAGAAGTTTAAAGATAAAATGAAAACAGGTTTCAGTTTTATCTTTATTGTGCAGGACCAGAGCATTTAAACTCCARTAATCAGAGAAAATACCTCTCCTGAGGCCTGTAGCCAGCAAGGTGTAGCAGGGGTAGCTCCTGCCCCGTTATTGTCCTTCCAGAGCAGAGGAAAATACAAAATTAGCTAGAAATGTGTGCTCTTTGCTCATTTATTTAATTTCCATTTCATCTCTGATCTGTGGCAAAYGTGGCTTTTCCAGCTCGGGTTGTTCTGTGGGAAATCAGGAGCTTCAGTTTGAACTCACACTTCGTGCATCTTTAAATAGCTTTATTTGCACTCAAAGCAACCTGATGTATTAAAAAATTCAGACTGACCTTTTTTTGAGGGAAAGAGAGCAAGATTGTGCTGCCAGAGATGATGGCTGTGTTGTGTTCTGAGCGGGGCTGATCAAAGCTGCCCAAGCGGATTCACAGCCAGCACTGAGGGACCAGAGCCCCCTTTGATGAGGGTCTGGGAGCTGCTTTTGTATTTTCTCGAGGGCAGGCAGGCAGGGAATGGGGGATTTCATGGAATTCCTGCCCCTTTGCAGCGTCAGTGCTCGGCCCCTCGCTGGCACTGCCATCCCTGTCCTGCTCCAGCCCTGACCCATGGGGGGACAGGGACAGGGAGAGGGACCGGGACCGGGACAGGGACAGGGACAGGGACAGGGACAGAGACAGGGACAGGGACAGGGACAGGGACAGGGACAGGGAGAGGGACAGGGACAGGGACAGGGACAGGGACAGGAACAGGGACAGGGACAGGAACAGGAACAGCTCCCACCACCCCAGGCTGCCCAAATCCTCTCCAGCCTGTCCTGGGACCCTTCCAGGTTGGGGCATTTCTCTGGATTTTCCAGCTCTGAGCCTGAACCCCTCTGCCCCCCTTAAAGCACCCATCCCTAAATCAGAATTTTCCATTCTGGGGAGTTCAGAGGGAGCTCTGGCCCATCCCTCCAGGGAACRAGCCCTGATTTTGTGTGGAGCTCTTGGGGAGTGTGAGGAGCAGGGATCAGAGGGACACTGGCACAGGGCACGGGGAGAGCAGGGTCTGTGGGGCACCTGCTGCTTCCCCAGCTCCTGCTGCCTCCTCCCTCTGCCTTGGGAAATGTGCATTCCTAAAATAAAATATATACAGATGAAATTTATACATAGGAACTACTGTTCCTGTAGGAATTCCTTGGGCTTGGACCAGCTGCCCTTTAAAGGGCCCCTCTAACCCAAACTATTTTATGATCTGGTTTAATCCACACGCTGCTTCCACCACAGGATATTTGAATTATTTCTTTTTTAAAGCAATGATCATAAAGAAATAATGCCCCAAGTTTTCCTAATAATAGACCAGAATCAGCAACTGAGTCTAAACTGCAGCTGCTTTAGGAGGCAGCCCAGGGAAAGCGCTGCCCCTGGGCTGTGCTGGCGCTGGACATCGACTTCATGGAAAACTTCCCGAGGAAAAGTCACTTTGGGCTGGAAATCTTCCCTGTCAGAAGAAATATTTCTCCTTTTTTTATGTTTTTTTTTTTTTTTTTTTTTTTTATTCTAATTTTGGCCTGCAGGATGCTCAATGCTGAAGCACATAGTTAAGCAGACTTTCATTCCCCAAATGACGTGTTGTGGCAGCATCACGAATTTTTTCCAATTTGTCCAAATTGAAGCTTTGGAAAACCATCTCTGGTTTGCAAAAAACTTCAGATTTCAGGGCTGGCAGTGTCCAAGGCCAGGCTGGGYGGGCTTGGAGCAGCCTGGGATAGTGAARATGTCCCTGGCCAGGACAGGGGTGGCTCTGGGTGACATTTAAGGTCCCTTCCACCCCAAACCATTCAATGCTTTGAATCCAGCTCTGTTTGGGCAGCTCAGCATCCCCTGGGTGCTGCCCTGAGCGGCTCCCTGTGCCAATCCCACCCTGGCAAAAGGTGCCAGCCCTGTCCTGCCYGGCTGCAGGAGCTCTCTTTTGGGGATGTGCCACTCTCAGTGCCAGTTCACCCCATTATGAACCCATTTAATAAAAAAAAGAAATTTTGAAGTTTCATTTTTAATGTCAAAACCCTCTTGTAATAACAGCTTGTTTTGTTTTTTCCAGGGACGTGGGTGACTTTTGGAGGTCAGATCTCAGACGAGGTGAGTGCTGCTGAGTCCCCAGTGGGGACAAACCCCACTCTGGGATATTTTCTGATGAAATTGGGACCCCTGGAACCTTCCAGCACAGAGAGACAGTGGCAAGTGTGAGCCTGATGTGCAGAGATCAGCTCTGCCAAGCCCCTGGACCCTCTGAGCCCCCRGGCACTGTCCCCTCCCTCCCCGGCCGTGTCCCCATTCCTGCAGTGGGAATTGGGAGCTGTTTGTGCTGTGGACAGACACGGGCAGGGCTGGCCTYGCAAATGTGATTTATTTTGTACAGAATGAGCTGAAACAAATGAAAAKGAGCTCAGGATTGCGCCATGCTTCTCCCTGGAGCAGATGGCTCCCGATGCCRGGGATCATCCCTGGGGTGCTGCACGTGAGCTCCCCTGCACCCCAGGTACACCACAGCTGTGAGACCCAGGGAGAGCAGCTGCCTTCCCCCAGGAGCTGCAGCAACCCCCAAAACAACTCTGCCGTGAGGAGAAGAGCCCAGGAGCCTGGATTCAAAGGGCTTTCCTTTAAATTCACGTGAACTTGCACAGCAGTGCTGCTTCTCCTGGTGGATCAGCACCTTCGATCCCATCTCCTACCATTGCGGGCTGTTTGGATGGTCACTTGAGGCTGGTTTCGATGGTCAGTTGAGGCTGGTTTGGATGGTCAGTTGAGGCTGGTTTGGATGGTCACTTGAGGCTGGTTTTGGTGGTCAGTTGAGGCTGGTTTTGGTGGTCAGTTGAGGCTGGTTTTGGTGGCCAGTTGAGCCATGTTTCAATGGTCAGTTGAGGTTTGTTTCAGTGGTCAGTTGAGCCGTGTTTCAGTGGTCAGTTGAGCCGTTTTTCCATGGTCAGTTTGCTCCCTGACCCTCCTCCCCTCCTCACTCAGGATGATTCCAGGCAAAGCGGTCACACGTGGACACCAGAACAGACCCCAGCCGTGTCCTGGGGCGGTGCCACCCTCAGGGTGCTGAGCCTGTCCCCCTTGGGTGTCTGTCAGAGGTGTCCCCTGGGCAGGGCTGTCACACTCCTCTTGGCCCTGCTGAAGCCTGATGGGTTTTTTTGTGCTGTGGGATTTTTCGTGCTGTGGGGTTTTTTCCTGCTGTGGGGTTTTTCCTGCTGTGGGGTTTTTCCTGCTGTGGGGTTTTTCCTGCTGTGGGGTTTTTCCTGCTGGCTGGGGATGTGGTTTGTCCCCCTGACGTGTCCCTGCCTCCCCAGGTGGCCGAGCAGCTGATGACCATCGCCTACGAGAGTGGTGTGAACCTGTTCGACACGGCCGAGGTGTACGCGGCTGGCAAGTGAGTGTCCACTGGGGATGGCTGGGCTGGGAAAGGGTCACTGGGGCTGGTTCCACCTCCCTGCCAGGGCCAGGGGCTCCCCTGGGCTCTGTGCTCCCCCCTCCTGCTGGACTGGGCTCTGGGTGTGCTTTGGGAGCTGCTTTATCCCTGAGCAGGGCAGGAAAACCTTTATTAGGAGCACTCGTAAAAGAACCCAAATAAATCAACACAAAGCCTCTCGTACCCAGCAAAGGCTGGAGTGTGGCACTTGTGCCACTTGCCATCGGCTCAGTGACAAAAATATCCCAACAAATGGAAATTCAGTGCGGATCTGTGGTGACGGATGGCCGGGGGCTGTGACAGCTCCAGGCACAGATCCCAGCGGGAATCACGGCAGCTCCCGGAGTCCCTGTGGGGTGGGGGAGGACAGCCAGCCCCGATCAGGGTGACCAGGGGGCATTTACAGGGCCATGTCCAGTGGGAGAGCCGGGCTGGGACATCGTGTGCTGCCGTGGGGACAGCATGGGGCATGAGGGGCACCTGGGGGTGGGTGGGAGGTGTGGGCTGGGGAGGGGTCACTGTCCCTGCTGGGTCATTGTCCCTGCTGGGTCATTGTCCCTGCTGGGTCACTGTCCCCTCTGGGGTCATTGTCCCTGCTGGGTCACTGTCAATGCTGGGTCACTGTCACCAGGGCAGGGTGGTGGCACTGATCACTCCCTCTCTTCCCGCACAGGGCCGAGGTCATCCTGGGCAATATCCTGAAGAAGAAGGGCTGGAGGTACAGTCTGGCATCCCGTGCCCCTGCCTGTGACCATCCCTCTGGGTTTCACACATTTCTCACCTCGGGTGGGGCTGCCCGTGGGTGCCCCAGGAGCTGCCACACCTCCCCAGTGCCAAGGGAAACTTCTCCCCTGGATTGTGGGTGCTGCCAGCAAATCCTGGAGGCTGTGACTGCACTCTGGGGACAGCCTGTCTCAGTCGGCACCCCTGGGACATGTCTGTCCCTTTGGGAGTGTGTCCATCTCCTTTAGGATTGTGTCCATCTGTCCATCTCCTTTAGGACCATGTCCATCCATCCATCCATCCATCCATCCATCCATCCATCCATCCATCCATCCATCCACCCCTCTGGGAGCGTGTCCATGTCCTTTAGGAGCGCATCCATCTCCTTTAGGACCATGTCCACCCATCCATCCCCCCTGGGAGCGTGTCCATCCATCCACGGACATGGAGAAGGGCTCTGGCAGTGCTCACCCCAAACCCAACGTCCCTGTCTTAGGTGGGAGGTTGGTTATTTGGTAAGAAACACTTTGGATGGTGTGGAAGAAAGAAATTGAGTCTGATAAAAGCTGGGGAAATGGTGTTGTACATGTCTGGTCATGCAGCACGGTAGAAGAAGGATGATAAATCTTTGATTTAATATCATGTAGGAGTTTATGGGTTAATCCAGGTGTATCACACTGCAGTTTAATAACTGGGAATGCTGCCTGGTAATGATGAGCACTGGACATGGAGAGCAGGAGGGTAGAGCACTGCAACCCTTTGTTAAAGGTCTGGGGGTTGTTCACTCAGTAATTAAAAATGTTTGGGAGGTTTTGGACATGCTATTTGGCTTAGCTTTGGTTTTTACCCCAATATTCAATCCCAGCTTCCCCTGACTCCACTTCATTCCATTTCCTTGTGCCTCTTTTTTAAAATAATAATAATAATTTTTCTGTTCTTCTTGCAGAAGGTCCAGCCTGGTGATAACCACAAAGCTATACTGGGGTGGCAAGTAAGTGTGGCAGTGGCAGTAAGTGTGACAGTGGCAGTTAAGTGTGACAGTGGCAGTGTGGCAGTGTCCTGTTGGTGTTTGCTGCTCCAGCCCTGAAGCTGGGGGAGGGTGACAGCCCCTGGGGTCACTGCTGTCATCGTCTTTGTTTGTTTTGCTGAGTGTTTTAAGGGGTTGGAGTTCTTCACCTGGAGAGAAGGATCTGGGGAGACCTGGGAGCCTCTTCCAAGGCCTGAAGGGGCTCCAGGAGAGCTGGAGAGGGACTGGGGACAAGGGATGGAGGGACAGGACACAGGGAATGGGGTCACACTGCCCGAGGGCAGGGATGGATGGGATTTTGGGCAGGAATTGTTCCCTGTGGGGTGGGCAGGCCCCGGCACAGGGTGCCCAGAGAAGCTGTGGCTGCCCCTGGATCCCTGGCAGTGCCCAAGGCCAGGCTGGACATTGGGGTGGAGCAGCCTGGGACAGTGGGAGGTGTTCCTGACATGGCAGGGTGGGATGGGATGACATTAAGGTCCCTCCCAACCCAAACCACTCTGTCATTCCATGATTTTGGGAGTTTTTAAATCAGAACACAAATTGATGCTTGCCAATGGCACCTCTGGCATCTCCCAACCRTGCTCCTGTTTTTCCCTTGCAGAGCTGAGACCGAGAGAGGCCTTTCCAGAAAACACATCATTGAAGGTACCTGGGGTGGGGTCTGGCTGTGGGGTGGGATGGATCCAGATGGATCCCGGGGCTGTGGCTGTGGGGTGGGGTGGGATGGATCCAGATGGAWCCYGGGACTGTGRCTCTCCATGAGCTGTTTGATCYCCTGSTCCCTGTGCCAGTCCCATGGAGGATAATCCCCAGACTTGGCTGAGAGGTGCCCAAAATGCACCAAAGGTTTGTTTTTGCTCTTCTGGAGAGGAGTGAGCAGATGAACTGCCCCCATAGCCCCCGGCAGCCTCTGTTCCTTGTGGCCATTCCCTGTGGGCAGCTGGTCCCTGGACACCCCCAGCTCTTCCCTCTGGTGCCGGACGTGGCCGTGGCTGCCCGGGCTCCCTTTGGAGCCGGGAGGGATGAGGATGAGGATGAGGATGTGGCAGTGATGTCAGCCTGCAGGAGCAGCCTCTGGAGGGCTGCCAGCCCCAGCGGGCACGGCCGGGCTTTGTTCTCGGGCTCGGCTTGGCTGCCCGTCCCCACGCCCCGCCGAGCGCTGCCTTACTCATCCCTGCCTTACTCACCCAAAGCCGGCTCCTCTGCTCTTCCCACTGCTGCTTTTTGTCCCTGTGGATGTGTTTGAGCAGGAGAGGAGGGAGGGAGAGCACGAACACCGTGTTCTCTTTATCCCTGACAAASCCCGGCCGTGCCCGCCTGGGCTGGGTGCGGAGCTCTGCGGGCTCTGGCTGCCGGGTCAGCCCCGGGGCAGCGCTGGGACACAGAGCAGAGCCCAGAACAGAGCCGTTCCTGCGGAACTGAGGATGATCCAGGCCGAGCAGTGTCCGCTGTGACCTTGTCCCCGTGGAGGAGCCGTTCCRGGCTGGCTGCTCATGGCCCTGGAGCGTCCCGCAGCTCCGAGMGGCTCCGGGCCAGCAGCGCACGGCCTGGGGCTGTTCCTCTGCACAAATCCCGGGCAGCGAACCAGCCCGGGGCTGCCAGGGCTGTGGAAAGGTGCTCCAGAGTGCCCAGCTCCCAGCAGGGCAGTGCCAGCCCCCAGGGGAGGACTCACCCCCATCTCTCTGCTGTGTGACCCATTTGTGCCTCCTGCTGCCAAGGGACGTGCAGAACCTGCTGGATCGGGCACCCGCAGATGAAATCCTCGGGGTCGAGGTCCATGGAGGCAGCAGCTCCTCCTTTTGGGGTGCTGCCCACCTGGAAAATCCAGAACCCCCGGGGGTGGGATCGCTGTGGGGAGAGCAGCCCCTCCCTGGGGCGCAGCTTTGGCTCTTCCCATCTTTATCCTTCCTGCCCTGAGCAGGAGCATCCCCGGGGCAGGGGCAGCTTCCCGAGTGATCAGATCGTGCCCCTGGGACTGCCCTGGGCAGTTCCCACCGCGGGGACTCTGCAGCATCCAGCRGAGCTGGGATGTGCCTTTCCCAGTCAGGAGATGCTGGAGAAAGCCTTCCTTGTAGCAACAWTTTGCTGAATTTTCATGTGAGTAAGCCCCTGTGAGGTGGCAGCTGTGTCACAGCACTCCAAACCCAGTCATTTTCCATTTCTCATGGAGTTACTTCGTGAAATGACAGGAAAACTCTGGCAGCAGTTGGAATAACTTCACAGAACACCCAGCAAACAGCGTTAAGGTCAATGGTAGATATTTTATGTATAGATATAAAAATATACACATATATATATCTGTGTGCGTGAGAGAGAGAAGAGGATTTTTAACGGTTGTTTTCTACAAATTTCCCCAAGAACAAAATGTTTTTCTGAATGTTGATGAAGAATGAGTCAAAATAGAGCGGGCTGAAAATGTTTGCTGAATTTTGAGATGGATGAAATGCCCATCCTGTGCTCGCCCTCTCCCATACACTCATACATGGATATATAAATATATCCTGAGGGGTTTGGTGCCACCTCCTATCAGATCCTCCTCAGAACCWGAGCATTACTGGGCCAAGCTCTGCCAAGCTCCATCCTTGATTTTACTAGGTAAAATCCCTCCCTGATGCTCTCGGTGAGGCATCGGCCCCAGAGGCACCGTCCTGGGGCTGCAGCAAGGAAGGCTCTGGGGTGAAATTGGGGTTGAATGAACTGCAAACAGGAGCAGGGCACTGAAACAGCCCCTGGCAGCTGCTGACATGGACACTCCTGGGCAGCCCAAATCCCAGATTTGGGAATTCTGAAATAAAGCCCATCCTTGTGGAAGGARGGGCTCTGCATGTGGCCAGGCTGGTGCTTTGTTCTTCACAGGGCTGCAGTGTCAKGGGACATTATTCAGCATCCTCAGATCCTACAGGTTGTGTGTTTATCTCTATGAGAAATGCATACATTGAAATATCCCAAGCTGTGTTTGAGTCCTGTTTTGGCTCTGTTCTGTGCCTCCCTGACCCTGTCCCTGTCTCTGCCTTCCCCTCCCAGGGCTGAAGGCGTCTCTGCAGAGGCTGCAGCTGGAATACGTGGATGTGGTGTTTGCCAACCGGCCGGACAACAACACCCCCATGGAAGGTGGGTGGGGGCTGCCCTGAAAGGTTTTACTGTGCCTGATCCTGGCTTAAGGGCTTACACMGAGGAGGGAGGAAATGAAAAACAATCTGTAATTGAATATTCAGGTGGGGCAGTTTCAATATGAAATATCCCGTTTGTGGTATCCTGTCTATGGGAGGTGCCCCTGGCTGGAATTAGATGAACTTTAAAGTCCCTCCCAAGCCATTCAAGGTTTCTGTGTCCATCCTGCCATGATGTGAATTTATGGAAAGAAATGAAAGTTTCCTTCATGTCCCGGGCGTGGCTTTAAYGTGTGAAGTGTTTCCTTTCCCTGATCCTTCAGGTGCAGGGGGTTTGTGTTTGGGTTCAGGAAGGTGTCTGTGGCAGGGTTTGTGTTTGGATTCAGGGATTGTGGTTTGGGTTCCAGGGTTTGTGTTTGGGTTCCAGGGTTAGTGTTTGTGGTTCAGGGTTTGTGTTTGTGTTCAGGGTTCGTGTTTGGGGTTCAGGGTTCGTGTTTGGGGCTCAGGCGGGTCCGTGGCAGAGGCTGCAGGATCTGCTGTGGGTGGCTCATGGAAATCAGACGCGGAACTCGGTGTCAGGAGCTGTGGCACTCATGTCCCCACTGAAACAGGACTGTGCCGCCCAGGATGACCCGGGRTTGCCATCCAGGATTTCAGGAGCAGGGCAGCTCTCCCAGGAGCTGCTGCGGTCAGGGAGGGGGCCGTGCTGTGTCTGGCAGGGAGCAGTGCCCTCTCTGCTCGGTCACAGATCGCCGAGCAGGGTGGGTGCGGTTCCCGTTCCCGTTCCCGTTCCCGTTCCCGTGCCCGTTCCCGTTCCCGTTCCCGTTCCCGGTCCCGTTCCCGTTCCCGTTCCCGTTCCCGTTCCCGTTCCCGTGCCCGTTCCCGGTCCCGTTCCCGGTCCCGTTCCCGTGCCCAGCTGCTCCCGGACGCCGCGGATCCCGCTGGCAGCGCCGGCCTTGGCAGCCGGGCACGGGCTGCGCTGCTCGCCGAGCTCCAGCAGGGTGACAAAAGGGACGTCTGATTGTGAATGGTGTGGTGGAGGCGCTTCCCATGTTCTCCCTGCCTGTTTCATGCTTCACCTACTAAGCCACTTCCATCCCGGAGCATCTGCTGGGCCATCTGTCGCCGCCGCGCTCCTTCCCGAGCCGCCCYAGCCCCGCTCGGCGCCGCGCACGCCTCGGCTCCTCCACACGGAAACCACCCAGAGCTTCGGCTTGGGAGGCAAAGTTCATCCCATCCCACCCATGGCAGGGGCAGCTCCCGCTGTCCCAGGCTGCTCCAGCCCCGGTGTCCAGCCTGGCACTGGGCACTGCCCGGGATCCAGGGGCGGCCGATGCTGAAGGTGACCTTAGGACGTTCCCTACACGTGGCAGCACTGTGCAGGGGACACAGAGCAAACCCTGCCATGCTCTTGGTTGTTTCCTGCCCTTGCTGTTCCTCCCCTGTCCCTCAGATCTCCTCTCTGCACCAGTGCCCGTGGGCAGCAGCAGCAGCGATGGAGCAGCTGTGAGATTCCCCCTTTGCAGACCCTCCCCGGGCTCATCCCGAGCAGAGCAGAGCAGAGCAGAGCAGAGCAGAGCCCCCTCCCTCCCCGGGCTCCCCAGGCTCTGCTCTTCCCCGGGGAAAGGAGCAGATGAGCATTCCATGGGGATTTCAGTGCTGGCTGTGACTCGGGGCCCCAGGGCACCTGGCAAAGCTGCTTAAAGCCCTGAAATGTATTTAATGTCCTTAGAGGTCTCAGAGCAAATTAAAGCCGTTTTCCGTGGTAAAGCAGTGAATGCTGGAGTCAGGGAGCAGCTGAGATGAGCACCTTGGGGTGCTGCAGGTGGGGCTGGCGGTGTCCCCACGGCCAGAGCTGGGCTGGGATCTGCCAGGCTGGGCTGGGATCTGCCAGGCAGGGCTGGGATCTGCCAG